AGGTTTAGTTCTCTTTTTTTTCACCCCCACCTTTGTTTTTTTGGTCCCAGCTCCCCCTTTCCCTCCACACAGAAATTATTGGTGCTATGGTAATTCACCGTAGTTCCTGCCTACTGGCATGACTGGTGTATCATTTGCCTCAACCTTGGGATTTTGATCAGCAGGATTGAATTATGAAAATGTCTAGGGTTGCAGACCAGTAAATACGAGTAAGCTACTGTACATGTACCATAGGCAATAGTGGTAAATACACAGGTACCGGTGCCTCCACTTCAAAAAGGCAGGAAAATTACTCCCAAGTTTCTCAGGTGATCAACACACATGAAATTACAGCTCACTTCCTCATCTTTTCTTTTCCTTTCTATGTTTAGTGACTTCACCAGTCGCTTTATACAAAGATACCCAGTAATCCCACCTCCCCTCGGGAAGCCATCACCATTTTGAAACTCACAACCACACTCCAATGCAAATCAGGAAATTCTGGGCCCATTTTGTCCTATAGATACATATTTTCAGACATTTTATGGAAGTTGGTAGTCCTACTAGTATATGTACATGTACATGTATGTATGTAGCTTCACAAACTATCCAAAGAAACTATCCTGAGAATCTGACAGCCTTTAAACAGTGGTTTGGTCCACACAGGCAATTTACACCTGGACATATATACCTGTACAATTTATGCGTAATCCTATGAGAGCTTTTACATGTAAACCTGAACTACATACATATGTACATGTATACCGGTACGTACATGTACATGTACTTAGTATAGCAATCAGCAGATGCATTACTGCCAGCTAAATCCATGCTGGGATTAGTACCCAATTGTCCATACAATGATAGGCCAATATGTACTGTTATGCTAGCAAAGCTCTGCAATATTTCTCTACGAGCTGAGGGGTGAGGCATCTAGGAGTTTTAAATCAATCTTCATCAGAGAAACATAATCACACTTCAGGACCTTTTCTTTTATGCTTTTTTTCCTTCTGCTTTCAACTCCAGGGGAGAAAAAATATTGTGAATTTAATCACAGGGAATTTTGTAAATTACTGTATGACTTGTGATTCCCTGTCCAATTCAGCAATTTTAGACCCAAATGTAGTTTCCATTTTCAACTATCAGAAAGGGGTGATGTTATTATTTCAATTTTAAACATATATGTACCGGTAATTAACCGGCACGGACAGTGTGGTCAACTCTGAGCTCTGGTCAGGCCACAAGAACCTACCGGTCCATGTACATGTAGTAATGTACAAATTCACACATCAGTGGTCAAATCAGAGTTCTACAAGGCTTAAATTTGCACTTAAATGTGAACAGGTGTACAACGTGTAAATTTACATGTAAACAGGTGCTACTAGTACGTACATGTACATGTATACATGTACATGTGCATGTACGTATGGTAATTTGACTGAGCTGATGGTAACATTAATTAACAGAATGGCAAACTCGTCTCTTTCTGGGGTTTGGTTTTCCTAAAAAGTTGTACGTGTATCTTTACTAGGGTTTGCACACGTGTATTGCTTTGAATGCTATTCAGTAAATAACACAACTAGCCCAGACAGAAGTCAAAGGATATCAAAAACACTTCGGGTAAATTACTGATCACCTGGCGACCAAGTGTACACACTGAGTTTGTATTCACCGGTACTAGGCTTGAATATTACTACTTACCGGTACACGTTCATGTAACTACAATCTTCGTCAAATCTCGTTGGAACATGCCTCCCCTCGCCCCATGTCAATGTTGTTTCTCACTGGGTAGGCTGAGCCAAATCTTGGTCCAATAAATGACCGCAATATTGAATGGGGGAGAGGGGATCTTTTCACTGCACTTCCCACATGGTGTTCCAACTATTTTGTCCAGGATTGTAGGTACTTGTACAACGTATACAAGTGGGCATTACATGTAAATGTACATGTGCGCATTTGGTACATGTACGTGCACAACTATGGACTCCTATGCATGTATAGTTACACGTACCAGGTGCATACATGTACCGTACACAGTACTGGTATGGGTGTACATGTAGACCTATGGCCAATGCATACGTACATGTGCAGCGCATTTTCAACACCCTCCAGTACCCACACCACCTGAGGCGAAGCCCAGGGGATATAAAGCCAAGGACGCTACAATGCAACCCTTGGGTTTTCAAAACGTCATCCCACTTCCTACAGTAGCGGTTATAATGTCTGCCGTTAAGACCTATACCCTCACACTACATGTCAAATACTCTTTTGCATGGCCCCCAAAACAGGATGTACAAGATTGACGGTTAAATTCAAATTCAATGGACACGGTCCAGCGGTCCAGCCAACAATTAACACATGCACCGTTACATGTACTGGGTTCCAATAGGCAGAATTGTAGACAAGGTACATGTGCATGTACAGTACAGTGTAAAATTTTGAAACTTATACCTGTGAAAACGAATGGGACAAATTGTGAAAACGATTCCCATTCACATTCACAGGCAAATTTCCCACTTGTGAAAAAAACGTGAAAATTTTTCCCACATGTGAAAAACAGCTGTGAAAATTTTTCTCACTGAAGGAACAAGTTTTCACAGTTTGTGAAATGATACCGGTATATTCATTTTCCTGGATGGGCGAAAGGGTAAAAAGTTTTTCCCCTTTTCAGGTTAACGTTCAATTGCAAATGTACATACTGATCGTAATATATATAGTCACAAGTGTTTGCAAGTCCTGCGTGCAATGCATGGTGCATGTGCGGTACATTAACTTGGCTAGTGAAACATATCCCATTATTAAAACTACAGGTGTATGTACTCTAAACTCTGCATGACTGAATGTCATGATCTCTGGCAGACATGCTTTGTGTCTGGCATCCGGAAACCAGCTAACAATTTCCTGGTTAAAGGTGCAAGTCAAAAGATTAGCAGCAATCATGACAGAACACCTTACAGCTTCAATGTTGATGACAACATGCGTGAGATGGCTTGAATTTTAGCCATTTTGCTAAATTTATTGTCAAATCTAAAGAGCTATAGGTTTCACATTTTGGGATACCTGTAGTTTGCAAACTGATGGCACACCAAACTAATTAAAGGGGTTCCTGGATATTAGTGTGGGATGTACATGTACCTGTCCCTTGTCAGAGGGTGCTTACCTCCAGCATAAATTCAAGTCCATGTACATGTAGGTCGAATTTATGGGCCTGTGACCACAAACTGACAAAGTCCTTTTTCAGCTACAAGCATCAAGATTCACCCGTAGGGTACACTGTGCTTTGTACGGTAGAAACTGCAATTGGAAAATTAAATCTGCAGTTTTCAAAGTATTGGTCCATTAGGTTTCGTTTTACAAAAGAAAGTGAAACTAACACAAACAGAAAGCCTATGTACATGTGTACATGTACATGTGAATGTATATGTCATTTACTGTTCAAGTCTGAAAATGTGTTCACACAGCATCTGCTGCTTTTCTGAAAATCAGGTGCACGGTAAACTCTCCTTGGCTTAAACGTGTAATGTTTTGAAGGTGCCAATCAGAGTTAGAGTTTTTTAAAGCTTTGACGCTCTAGGATACAACATGAGAATTCAAACCTGCACATTTCTGTTCAGTTTAACATACCGGTACCCTGTATACAGTGTAAATGTATGTACTGGGGTACCCGTACATTTACCGGTAGTGTCCCACTTACAACCTTTGAAGAGTCCAAATGTAGCTTATGACAATGGACAAATAAAATCTCAGAGTTTGTTTAACTCGTGAGACGAACAATGAAGAACATTTTTTTAACAGGTCCATGACTTCAGTATTTTTGATACATGTACTTTACCAGCGCAATCAAGAAGAAAGGTGTCTCTCACTTCCTTGCTATTTCCTTGTTTGAATAAAACCTACAAAGTCTAAAGACAGCTGGCATTTTCAAAGTACATGTATTTTGTGACAAAGTTGGAAAATTGTTTAGTGTCCAGTTCGTGTCTTTCCATAATTTGCCAAATGCCTGAATAGGAGAAGGTGGCATTTGGACGCAATGTTGAGATTGTGGACGAGTTCGGGGAAAGTGTTTCAATCGCAGACAGGAAAATTTTGAAACTATACATATGTATCTGAGCCAGTACATGTACATGTAGTTTTGTATTCAATGAAAACAGGAAAAGTACGTAAGTTGTTAGGGTTTGTTTGGAAGCAAATTCACAGAATAGAAAGAGTCGTTTTCATTTTAGGCACACGCCTAGTTTGGTTCAACTTGTCATTGCCTGCTGGCTTTTATGAGCCTTGAAAGTTGTGATGGTCCATACGCCCAATGTGGAATTCGGTAAGAGTTTTGTACACGGACATCAGCGATTTTTCCCTGCAGTGATACCGCACATGTACATGTATCAGCTAACAGGAAGTGATAACACGTCCCAAAATGCCAAATTTAACAAGGATGGTATTGTACATGAAGTGTTTACTCAGAAACTATTGAGAGTTTGGAAACGGTTCCATGGCATACATGCATGACTTGTATGCGGACGCCACTTGAAACCCTGAGCATACCGGTACATGTAAACATGGTAAAACCTTTGAGACTAGTCTGAAAAATTCTGAGTGTTTTGTAATTCTTTTTGTCTTTCGGCCTCTGAAGAAGAACTTGCAAGGTTCGAAAGGTCGGGACGCACTATTTTGTATTGTTTTCTAAGTAAACAACTCGGTATTTTCCCTCCTAAATTGAACTTTTCTGGACATGTTTTGCCTTTTGATGGCTAATAATAGGTCACTGTAGGGAATAATTACTGGCTTCCAAATATGAAACTCTTTGCTACACGTTTTCAGACCAGTCTCACAATAGGGTTTGTGCACAGGGTGTCAAATGTTGTCAGTCTGTACATCATATATGGAACTCTTTCCTAGAATTCTTTCCGAAAATTATGATAGGCCAAGTCTAAAAAGAAATATTTCTTCAGCACCAACACAACCTCAGCCATTTTAGCACAATACTGATACATAGATGACAACAAAACATGGGCAACACCACTAACCGGTGGAAATCTGCCTCTCCTCCGGGAAGGTGGAGAACGACACGGTCTTCTTGCGGGAGCGTCTCCGTGTGGTATCCTTAATCAAGCTGGACCGCCTCGGTAAAGTGGGCTCCGATTCGGTGGAGCCTCCCTCCTCGGAAGAAATAGACCCATTTTCCTCCTCCTCCTCCTTGACCATGGACAGGGGACGGAAGCATTCGAAGTTTTCCACGGGACTTTCCGGTTCACATTCGGCGGTAGCCATCTCTTTTTTCCTTCCCCTGATGGATTGAGTGGGACGTGTTTACCTACTGACAGCTGTCAAGGCTCGTAGTACTTGTCTCACGTCATTAAAGCCTGTCAGTAACTAGACTAACCCGTGTACAGCAATAATGGGGCTGCCGAACGATGATGGGCACCAGGCTATTCAAATTACCTGTCCTGGCCAAGCGAGGGCGATGTTGGAGTTGTACGAACCGGCTGTCACCCAAACTTTTCAAGTGTTTAGAATTAAGAAACACGTCAAGTTAAAAGCTTGTGTCCTCGTTTTCAGTTGTTGCTGGGTTCACCACAGCGGGCATCCAGCTTTTGGTATAAGGGGAACAAAGTTGAAACAAATGCAGCCTCGGGCTCA